TTTTGCAAACAATTCTGTGCGGCATTTTCACTTATACTGTGCTTAACTTGGCGGCATTTTCACATTTTTCAATACGATTTTTCACAAAATTAGAAAAGTGCTCTAGTACATAACAGTCTAAACGCACTCGGGTAAACATTTGTACAAGAGTGGCGCTTAGACTGTGCTTAGCCTGGGGAATTTTCTGAATTTTTTTTAATCCAAAATTACAAAAAATTTTTGAAAAAAAATTAGAAACAATTTTTTTCCAAAAGCAATTATCTTGTTGGAACAAGCAAAAAGTTTTATGAATCATTCAAATCGGACTCAAAAACTGTCATTTTTTGCACATTTAGCTCAGTAACTCCAAAACGGCTAGACCTGCCTATGCCAAATAGTAATCACCACTTCTCCCCATCATTACGAACTAAATGCTTTTTAGATAATTCAAATCGGATGCCCCGTTCTCTCAAAATCTCTATTTCTATTTTCGGCACTCTTTGCTCTTTATTTCCGTAACGGCTGAACCTGCCTTTGCCAAAAACTAATCAGCACATCTCCCTTTTAATAGGAATTGAATGTTTTTTAAACCATTCAAATCGGTTGATCCATGCGCCCGAAAACGTGGACGAAAAAACGCGGACATACAAAACACACAAACACATCCATTTAGTTTTTGAGGTATGCCCCTTAAAAATGTTCAGAAACCTTCAAAACGTCGAGAAATGCAAAAATTTTCATTTTCGATTTTCGGCCCATTACTATAACTACCCTACGGGAAGTTAATTAACGTTTCGTATCCCAATTTGTACCATCTTCGAGGCAAAATTTAAGTATTGAATATCATTCTAGTTCATAGTTAAATCTCAATAGTAATAAGTAAGAATTATGTAAAGTTTATAAATTTTTATAATATTTAAATTTATAGTAAAAGCTAAGACAAATTTTATTCAGGAATCCATCCAAGTTAAAATTTTGTAAAATATATTTTACAGTAATTTAATTAGAATTCTTAGGACTTATTATGATTAGAGTAATAAAAGGTTCATTACTTGTCATATCATTTAATCGATCTATCTTATCAATATTATATAGGAAATGAATAGTTTTCCAGTTTTGCATCAAGTCAAGACCAGAAACGATTTTAATAACATATAGATTGACAAAACGACTTCAAGAACTTGATCTTGAGATCACTTTCGCCTTTGGGCGAGAAAAATAAAGTAATAAAATAACTATGATACCTTTAAGTTTTATAATAATAATCATAAGAATGCAGTCAAGAATAAAATACAAAAATAGTTAAATAATTGCCAAAATACTTCAAAATTTTGAAATTGTACAGTGACAACTTCGTTGCTAAATTTGATTTTTTTTATTAATTTTTTATCGAGAAGTTTTTAACTTCCCGTAGGGTAAGTTATAGTAATCGCAAAAAAAATCGAAAATGAAAATTTTTGCATTTCTCGACGTTTCAAAACCTTCTGAACATTTTGGCATACCTTAGAAAAAATGGATGTATGTTGTGTGTGTGTGTGTGTGGTGGTGTGTATGTATGTATGTATGTATGTATGTATGTATGTATGTATGTATGTATGTGTGTGTATGTATGTGCGGATACAAATTTTTCGTCGACGATTTTGGGAACACGGATCAACCGATTTGAATAATTCAAAAAACATTCGATTCGTATTGATAAGGAGACGTGCTGATTAGTTTTTGGCAAAGGCAGGTCTAGCCGTTCCGAAGATACGGGGCAAAAAGTGCCAAGAACGGTACCTCCGTTTTTAAGAGAACGGAGCGTCCGATTTGAATAATTCAAAAAACATTTTACTTGTATTGACAAGATGTAGAATTGATCAAATTTTCATGGAGGCAGGTCTAGCGGTTTCGGAGATCTAATGAAAAAAGTAAAAAATAATGCCATTCGGCGGTTAAAAATTATCATTAGACATATGCACATCAAATTATCAGATATTTTTAGAGATTTTAACAATAAGTATATTTTTTTTTTTACATTTTTATGGGTTCCGTACCAAGCTTATGCGTTAGACGGCGGCGCGGCACATGCGCGCTTTGACATTTCGTCTCTATGCAGCAATATATCAAAATGAAGAAAACATTTTTTTCAAAAAAATTTTTTGTATCCAAAAAAAAAATTTTTTTTTCAAAAAAAAATTTTTTTTTCATATAAATTTTTTTTTCAAAAAAAAGTAATTTTTTGTCAAATTATAGTTTCTCAGAAATCTTATTTTTTTTTCAAAAATGTTAATCGTTTTTAAAAAAATAATAATTTTTGGTACGGGAAGTTCCAGCAATTTGCCTTAAGGCACGATGCCCTAATTGCCTTAAGACAGAATTCCACTTACAGCTAGTTACAACTTGCCTTAAGGTAAAATCCTACTTGCACCTAATTAATATTTGGGAACAACATTAACTAAATAATTACAAATTTTACCATAATTTTCATTCAAATCGGATTCTCGACGGAATAGATTTTTTAGCGAATGTGAAAGTACTAAGAAAATTATTTATATACACATATATGTATGTATATATTTGTGTAAATTGCGCAATTATTGCAACAATTCATTTAAACAAATACATATAACTGGCTAAAGTATAAATATACATACGAACTACTTTGATTAATTATAAAGAAAAGTGATTTTCACATTACAACAGTGTGCTTTGCAATCAGTGCGGTAAATTCTTTTGAAAATATTTTAAATATTTTCATTGTTATTTATTTTATATATTTATATAATTAA